CCTTTGGTGGTCAATTTTATGTTGCACTTGTACTCTTTTGCCCTAGTCTTTTGTATCTGCTGGCTTTACTTTGGCTTGCAGTGTGTTGAAAAGCAATGCCCACCACCTTTTTTGAAGAGACGAGCATCGTGTGTCAGTCCTTCAAGTTAGAACACATTTGCCCAATAATTTGCAAATATGGTCTGTTCTGCTCCCTGTGGAACCTCTAGGTTCTGCACTCTGGGAATTGGCTTTTCTCTTCAAGACAGTGGCTGTACTGGGTGGAGATGGGGATAGGGCAAGAACAGGTAAAAATGCCACAAGCTTTCAATCTGTCTTTCTTGATTCATTGTTCATTTGATTTTTGTAAATCTTTGACTGTTTTCCAGAGTGGTTTTAAAGTTGTTTTTAGTGTTTCTGTTGGAGTATGAGAATCTAGAGTTGTATATTCTACCACTCTGTTGTTGTCACTTTGCTTTCTTTTTTAAAGAATTCCATTAATGATTCAATAGGAATAACAAAAACTCTATCTACTTAAATTAACATTGTCCACTTGAAATTTTACTTACTTCGAATAGCTCCTGTGTATCCCAGTTTTACATCTGAATTTTCATTATCTAAAAAATAATTTGAAAATATTACATAGAGAACTAAATATGGCCATTAAATCATTAGACTGCAGATAAATTAACAATAATCAAGAAAATTACTAAATACACAAATTTTCTGTATTTACTGGAGCCCTGGCTTTTAGGTCTACCGGGAGGTCCTGGATTTTAGCATAAATAATTTGCCTAGAGAGGCTGTTGTTTACCTGGTTCCTGAAATGTGGTGATATTCTTAGTGTGGCTATTGTCTTCATAGATAACTCTGAGTTATTATGCTTTGCCTTCACTGTGTATCATCATATGAATATACTTAATTCAGAGATATTTTTTGAATCATTACTTTAAGTGGGATTTTAAATGTAACTAAAACATTTCAGTAGTAATGCTAATTAATTTAAAAGACACAAGAGGTTTTAGGTCTTTACACTAACATTTATGACATCTTATCCTATCACAACTAAAACGTGTTTACCTACCACTTCGTTTTCAGTAAGTTTGAACCAGATATTTTTTTCCTCCCTTACTGTTAAATATTCAGTACACACACTTGGTGACATTTCTCTAACAATTCAGAGATAAACCTGTTCTTTTTTATGTAATACTTTTCAAAAATCATACCTAGTGTGTGATGTGAGACTTAAAATTTGACTTTTCTTTTTTCTTTTTTTTAGATATAAACTGAAGACACAAATGAGTACATGTGCTTATCATAGCATTATTCTGGTTCTTTTTTAACCTAACATAACTTAAAATCTCTGGTTCTCCCTTCATGAAGCAGATGTTTGTACATAAAAAGCACTATGGAAATCTATTGTAAACCTTCTTTTAGTGTGATCTCAGCAGTGCACAGATAGATACTATAAATGACCTTAGCTAAACATGACTGTAGTAAAAGCAAAAATGGAGTCCAGAATTCGATTTTCCTGTTTTGAAATTTGAGTCACCATTATATGTATTATTGGCTTAATAAGTTAGATACCAGTATATTAGAAATTACTGGTGGAAAATAAAATACTATGCTCTTTGTACCCTCATATAAAACAATATAATTACAAGCAGTTTTTTCGAATCAACCAACTTATTTTGTGAATGTTATGAACTCATTTTACAAAGTTACTTACCAACTAATGAAAAATGAATGTGTTATGTAAATTTCAGACTTTAATGGTCACAAGTAATTGATGAACTGTCTATAAATATATAATGTTGAACAATTCTGTACTCTATGTATAGTAGCAAAATATGTGTGTTATATATTATATGTAATTTATGCATTTATTTGAAATTTACTCAGTAAATACATCCACATTATTTTATTGGTTAGTTTACACTGAATATTAAAATACCTTTAAAATTACAATTGTATTACTCTATTAAATTATCTTTCAAGGAGGTGAAAGAAAGTCTGTTATCTTAAATCACATTTAAGTATTTGTTTATTTGATCGTTTAAAGGTCTTTGTGTAAGATTCCTTTAATAATGTGTGTGTTTTGTGTGTATGTGTGAGAGAGAGGAAGGAGGGAAGGAGGGAGTGGGGAGAGAGAGAGAGAAAGGAAGGGAGGGAAGTAGAGAGTGGCAGGGAGAGAGAGTGAGAGGAAGAAAGAGAGATAAAAGGAGAAAAGAGAACCTTAATGCTGAAAATAGCCTATGCATCCTTGTTGCAATTACTGCTACCTGGTAACTTAGTTCAAGAATCAGAACAGCAACTAAAAACATCATATTAAACTCTCTTGCACCCTCTGTTGTTTTTTTGGGGGAACACTACACATACCTTCCCATGATTATTAATATTAGGCTTATTACAATCCCTGATAAAATTAATAGTTAGTTTATTATACTTAGCTCCAAATTAAATTGATAGTGAAATGATACTTGCTTTTAATTCTTATTTGTTGTTTCTTGTGTTACTGATATGTTTTTATTGTATAACAGCTTAAAAGTGAAAGATGAGCCTTTCTATTTTTTTTATTTTTCCTATTTACCAGTTTTAAGCCCCTCTAAATGTTTCATACGAATGAGAGCCTCTACAGGAGATAGCACACTCTGTATACAATTTTCAGAATTATAAATTCTATTTTTTTTGTAAACCTTTCAATTGTAAGACAATTTTCTTCCAAAATAAGAGTCTGGAATCGTCCATACTAAAATTAAGAATTTATAACTGTAAGGAACAGATGTTTTCATAAACATTTGCTATAATTAATTTCAACTAGAGAATTGAAGGAACAAAGCAATCTTTCCTGCTTCAAAACTTTATTGCCTTTTCCTCGTGTAGCAAACTCTGAATATTTTCTCTGATATTGTCTAGAGAAACAATTGTACTCCTTATTTGGTATGTGTTTGAGAAAGAAAAACTGCTTTTTTCCCTTACTACCATCTTTTGAAAGTTACATTTAATGTGATATATGCATTTCAAAACAGGTATAAAATGAAGAACACTCTTGTAATATATTATGACAAAACCTAGTTGTTTAAAAAAAACAGAAGTCTCTTAATTATTTGAATGATATTACATTTGATCTGATAATTTTCAGCAGAAGGCAAGAAATATTCTATTGGTAAGATTTTATGTATTTAAGTAATCATAATCTTTCGTTTTAAAGAGAAAGAAGGCTTATATCTTTAATATATGATATAGTACTTATTCTATGCTGATTATGGAGTGTTTCACAGGAAATGTCTGCAAGCTGTTAAATAACATGTGTTGTAGGAAATTTTCATTTAGCAAGACAGAGACTAATCTCCCTTAATTTTTTTTATTTATTGTAATACCATTAATTTTTTTAAAGAAAATGAAATATGTTGAGTGAGTAATCTTATGGTACCCGTGTTTTCAAAGAATTAAAATATACCCAACTAGATTAATCTTAAACATTTAAGTGTTTTCGGATTATTTCCTTCTGTAATAATCATCAACATTTTCAAATGCTGTAATCTGTTTTAGGATTTTTGTTTAATTAAAAAAAGCTGAAAGTACATTTTCAAAAAAAGAGTAGAGTTAAAAGTTCAGTACGTGGGCTCAGTCCAGCTCTCGTCCTCCTAAACACTTAGGTGCAGCTGCAAAGAAATTGAAGAGAACCAACATTTTTGACTAATCTGTCAACTATAAAATGTGCAAAGAAAAATAGGTAGCTGTCATTAAAATTACATTTCAGCTTTCAATAATCATTTAATGAGTAGCATAATTATATAAGTATGGTATTTTAAGTACTATACTCAATAATTAAAAATAATCTTATCTTTAAAGTGAAAGCTCTGTAATTACTATTTGACTTACCCAGACCACTGTGATGATCTCCAGTGGCACCTTAGGTTGTTCAAAGTGGATTAAAAGTATAAATTTAAAATTAGATATATCATTCAATTATTTGGCTTTAAAAATCATAAAAATGAATGTAACCTAGTGTTTTTAAGTTACATGACAGGAATTAAGTGTATAAAATGTAATCAGATAGTAATCTCTTTAATTTGTTTCTAAGAATAAATAATGTTTTATAGTAGTATACTATGGTTTCATAAAACTGTACTTCGAAGTATATATTGTAAAATTTAAAGTATTAAAATTAAATTTCTGTCAATAAGAATATGTATTTTATATTGTAGCATTGGTAAGAACTTTTTAACTTCTTTCAAAATTTTATTTTTATTGTATAATTGTTAAACTGATAGGTATGAATTTTTTCTAAATCTGAATTTATGAATCTGCCAGTTTTTTGTGACAGTTTTTTTCCCCTAAATGTTTGATATTACCAAGTGAGGGAGCAATACTTTTTGATGTAATTTTTTTCATTTTTTAAACTGCTGAACTTTTGCCCACCGTTAAAACCTAAAGTTTTGGGAACAATGTTAGGTGTATGCAGAGCTCACTGGACTGCGTTTTTGATTGGTCTCTCCCAAGTCTGCTTTCTGTTTTACCTTTCTCCCTAACTGACCCCTAGATAGTGGTTTGTTAGAGCACTGGGGGCTGGGAAACATTCAAGGTCTGCCCTCTGCCTGCCTTCTTTGACTATACCCTGTGGCCATGATGGGTGACTTGGCCTCTAACAAAAAGGTTCTTTTTGTTTATGAACATTAGTCTGTGATTCAATTGTTTATAAATTTTGGTTTGTCGGTGACTCATAAGAAGAAAATGTCTGTACTGTACTTCATTTGTTTCCGTTAGCAATTACTTTGGTAGTATTTCTATCCAAATTCCTAAAAATTAGGAGCAGTGATTTTGGTTTATATTTTAGCATCAAAATAAAATTTTGGCCTAAAGGGCTCTGATTACAAAAGACATTTGGGGGAGAGATAAGGAGATATATGCTTTTTGACTCAATATACTGCATAGAACTGTCAGACAGTAGCTTTTCAACTAAAATAATCAGTTTTATAATCTCCATTATTTCAGTGTTTTTTAATTTTTTTTTCCAGGGGATTCAAATAAAAATGGAAGAAGAACAAATTCTACTTTAGATTCTGATGGGACTTTTAATTCCTATAGGTAGGTGATGAATACATAGATAAATGATATTACAAGTTAATGTACAAAATACCTAATCTTACAGGAATTTGATCTTAGAGTAGTTAGAAATTACTAACTGTTATTTTAAAAATATGACTAATGTAAATATCGTGTTGTGTGATTGTTCTGCAGACTTATTGAATAATGGAAAATGTAAGACTAATTTCTTGAATAAATGGTCTTTTGATAGATATCCATTGTTAACCTATAGTAGGATAACTGGAATGAATGGACATAGATTAAGCTTCATTATAATCAATTTTTGTTTTTGTTTTTCCAGTATATTTGTTACAGTACTAAAGACTTCTTTTTGTTTGTTTCCTGCTAGAACTGAGAGTACTGTTTATGAGCATCTAAGAGAATATAAAATGTAATCTGTGGTTACATTAAGTGCTGTTTGTTAATATTTCTTTTGGCTTTTCAGCAAACAGGGCAGTTACATCTCAATTAGTGATTTTTTTAAAAAAGGATACACTAGTTAAGAAAACATGTATCATATCTAGTCTTTGGTTAATATTCTCCTTATAACTTGAATTTGCTTGAGTAAGTGTTTATGGAATTTGTACCCTCATAACAGAGAAACCTAGGAAGAAGAAAGATTAAAGTATTTCCAGTAGTATTTCAAACTTTATGTTCTGAACCAAAATGATGTAAGAACCAGGTTTTCTTTTAGGGAAAAAAGTACAGATTCAATAGTAGTACATTTTGGCATTATAGATAGCAATGCAGATTCTTGAAGAAATACTTTAATTGGAGTACATTGTCCTTATGGTTAATTAGTTCTGATACTTGTATAATGACACTATAAAATATATGCAAGAACCACACTGTACACTTGGAAACTCATTTGAATATTAAGCTGTCACTCCTTCTTTTCTATAGCAGATATGGAATTTATAGAATTCCATAGAATCTTTATATTTTTATTGAAATACATATTCTGTATCCCTAATTGGAACTGTGTCATTTGTTTCTTCAGATCCCAGGCAAGCTTTTACATCTAGAGTAAGGCCTCATATACAGGAAACACTCAGTAAGAATGTGGTAAATGTGAAAGTTTTTACCATTTGTTTATGAATTCCAGAAATTAGATGGTAATTGAAACACTTGACATCTTTATTTTATACCATTTGGGGTCTGTATAAATAATCAGCCATTCAGGTGTCACAGATAGTACAAAAGGCTTATGTTCCCATGGTGTTTTAGAAGGTATTATCACAGCAGTAAAGCTCAAATGTTGTCATTATATTTACACTGTACCCATCCTACCTTATAAATGTTGGAATTCTCCAAATCCTTCGTTTAGTGCTGAAATATAATATAAACTTGGAATTTGACATTAAATGATAGGTAGATATCCTATGTCTGAACATATTACAGCTGATCACACCAAAACATAGGTGAATGTAAAAGATAGTTAGATAAATATTCATGATTTGTAATGTAACTGAGGAATATTAATATAATTTATTTGAAATCTTTGAGATAATGTCATTATTAGATATAAATACAATAAAAATAACCAAAACAAAAGGCAAATAAATATATATTTCACAGGAAGGAAAATCTATATGTATATAAATTTTGTTGTTGAAAATCTATATGTATATAAATCTATATGTGTATAAATTTCGTTGTTGAAATATATAAACAATTCTATTTGTTTAGCTAATTATAGTAAATAATGGACATAATATAAAGTTAAGAGAAATGTTTTCATGTGAATGCACAGTATTATCTTGTAGTTTATTTTGTTCTTTAGTAGTTTGAAGATTGAAGTATCAGTATTATTGAGTGATAATTGTATTTTGAAAAAGGGACTTCTAATGCAACTTTGCACAATAAATACTAATGTTAACTAATATATGTTTAATGATTGCCCGTCAGTGCTGTAATGTTAGGATATTAATTAATTGTTGTGATTAAAAAGGCAAGATAGAAAACTCAGGTAGTACAGTATATAAAAACAAGCTTTTAATAGTTGGCAGGCCAGTGCTGTTATTAAATAGTATTATAGTATTTAAGGTGTGAAATGAATATTTTTCTACTTAGTAGGCAATAGCTCTTACAATATAATGAGCTTACTTGTGAATTTGACACTTGGGTTAAATGCAGAATTCATTGGAGCACAGCTCTGGGGTATATTTTCATATTAAGGTTAACTGATAAAATCCAGGAATTGTTGCAGAATCACACGAAAATGGCAACAGAATTGTCAGTAAAATTCACTTTTGAAAATGAAAATTATTTTTCTCCTGCCACCATAGCTCTTTTAAACTAACTAGAAATAGGTTGTTGGAAACATTTGAATATTCCAACCCTCAAACATTCTAACAAGTCTACCTTTGTATTATTTAAACTGGCTCAGAAACCCTGACCTTCCTTCACAGTTAGACAGTTCTGGCTGTCAGCCTAGTATGAACATACTCAAGCTGTATATACTTGTGTCCAGGATAATGATTAGCATTAGTTTGTTATCTATAAAATGAACATTATAATGTCTAACCTGCTTCCTTCTTACAGTCATTTTAAAGGCTGAGATAAAATGTCTAAGATAAAGCTTTTGGAAAATCTAAATGTAAAGTAATGGCATTATTATTCTTCTTTTGTGCTTACCTTCTGTAAATTGTCAACTTGTCCTCATTTAACATTCCAACAGGTGTACCCTTTTATAGCATATGCTAGGTTTTATTAACTTTCGAATTCAGGCCTGAATTACTCACCTAAATCTGTATCTTTCCATTATTAGTTTGTATTATTGTGGTCTTAGATTTTCCATTTCAAGAGGGCATAGCCTCTGTTTTTTGTTGTTGTTTTGTTTTTATGTTTGTTAATAATACCTAAACATAGTGAGTTGGTTCAGATCCTGACTCCAGATACTTTAGAGACCTTGGACAAGTGTTACCCTGACTTTCCTCACCTTTGAAATGGGCATAATTTAACACACTTATTATGAGGAGTTAATGGAGTGGAGTCATGTGGTAAATGCTGAATAAATATTAGCTGCTTTCATCTTCCACTCAGTGTCATCATCATCATTAATTTTTTGGTAGTGTAGAGCTTTTTTACAGCGCTTTAATATAGAGGCACCAAAAAGAAGATTTAAAAATGTGTCTTAGCAGGAGAATAACTTTTTTCTATTATCAGAAAGGAAGCTAAGAACCAGTTTCACCAGAGGTTCAAAACTCTCAATCTCTGACTAATATTCTAGATTGCCTTTGTATATCAAAATTGTACACATAGTAAAGATAAAAGGAAGGTGTTTACTATCAGTATAAGTTCAGAGGAGAATTTTTGGAATTTCGACGAATTTTGAAATTTAAAGTTTACTGACTTTTACTATAGCTTTGTGTGCCTAATGCTCATAGATTTTGTTTTTTATAGGCTAGGAGATTTTACTTTGGATTTGTGTCTTTTGTGGTTCTAGCTTCATTGATTCAAGATAGAGTACAGCTGCATTTAGCTCCTTTGCCACCACTATGATTATTATATGATGGCTGGCCAATAGACTGCTTCATGTTTTGGAAGTTTTTGTTTAAATTTGATTATATATCTCCTAACTAATTTGCAGATGATGTGTTAAAATGGAAAATGCAAAAGAATTGAGAAGATATTATGCATTATATTTCGTAAGTTTTTAGAGACCAATTTTAATATTTTCTGTCAGATTATATGAGCTTTCTCTTTTTCTTATGTAACCATTAAAACTGAGAGACCCCTTGCTGGGTATGAAAGAAAAGTAGTTTGCCAATTAGGAGTTGCAAAAGCTGTTTAACTAAGTAACTGTAGCACAAGACCACAAGGTAGAAAGAATATTCTCAGTACCATCCCCATCCCCTCTGCCCAAGGGCAGCTGACCTTCTCCTCTCCAAAGAGGCGAGCCCCTTGCCAGCACATATGACTACAGACTATTACATTAATCTGTTTAGCTGTAGTACCAGCTGCTTGCATGTTTTTAATTATCTTATTAGGTGGTATAACTGTGACCTATGAAATAAATTGAAGGTGAACATTTTTAAAGTTTTCTTCTTTTACCCTGTGTTTCTAAATATCTTTATTGATCAAATTATAACTTTCCACAAATGTTCATAGGAAGTCTATATGGCTTTTACGCCAGTGTAATGCTTAAGTATTATGTCATAATTCCCAAATAGGAAATAACTTAATTTTTGTCTCATTAGGTTGTGTTTATATAGCCACAAATCCATGTTAAAATCCATTGGTTTAATAGTCAATTTAGTTAGAGAAAACTCAGACCAGTTATTGGCATTCTCTGGGATACTCAAAATATTCCTTAATTTTCAAACATTGTCTTGGCATTGTATAAATGGGTAGGATAGAATGTAAATCACTGTAGATTGCTTTAAAATAAATTTGAATGTTTTAACTCTGATTTTCTAGATTTTGTATATACACTAGTAAGTCGTCTGGCCTACCCTAATTATTTTAAAATTTTAATTTCACATGCTACCATTTCTGAGTATATTTTCCCAAGCTGTGCTGTTAGGAAAAATGTACTGTCATCTAGATTTTGACAATTGGATAATTTTCAAGTAATACTTTGTAAATGAGATGTTGACTCCACAAGACACAGTTCAAAATAATAGCAACCAATGGTTGTCCGGTTATAAGTCAGAGCCAAGAAACAAAGACTGTAGTAATTTAGTTGTAACCCCTGGTGTTAAATTAAAAAATAATGGTAGTTAGATGCAAAAGGATTGCAAAATACTTATGTGTGTCTTATGTGTGAATTAGTAAATCCTATAGTGGCGATAGTAAGGTGACTTGAGACTTGAAACATTTATAAAGACCTTGGTTACCTAAAAAATACAGTGCATTATTTATGTTTTTAAATTAAGAAGTATTCATACTTTCTGGCTTCTCATTTTTTCCCTCCAAAGAAATATTATATTTAGTATTTCAAAAGAACTTTTATTGAACAAATAAAAGGAACTTTTTCCCTTTCTATATATTATTTT